CCATCAAAAAAAAAAAAAAGAAAGAAAGGGCTTGGAGACAGGGTCCTGACCCCGGAATTCAGATATTACCAAAGCAGCCCCCTCCGGTTCCTCAGTGTCTGCCCGGGAAGAAGCAGTGGGTGGCCACCCACCCAGGCAGGGCAGGCCCTTCACCGCCCAGCCCCACCAGGAATCCAAGGGCCTCTGTTTACTGCTGTTTTCTGGAACTTGTTTTGATCTACAGAAATCTGCTGACACACCCACCTCCGTGCTCTCGCCCTCCAGCAGGACAGAGGTATTTTTAGACGTATTTGTAGAGGAAGAGAACAGAACCCAGGCCCAATGTGAACATTCCTTATTGTGGGCACAACTTTGGTCCCTTAACGCAGGATAGAGATACCCGTGTGGTTGTCTACCCTCGGCTCATCTCTCCTTAAATACATTCCTCTCCTGAGGAAAACAAGCCGTGTGGAACTTGGCGGCCAGCAGAGCTTCTACATAAGGAGCCTCTGAAACAGAGTCCTTTTGTCCTTGAAAACCCAGGGTGGCAGGGGCAGCTCCAGACACAAGGGCACAAAGAAGCCTTGCTTCTCTTTGTGACGGGGAAGCCTGTGCTTTACAGACTGCTATGCTTTGTATGTCGACGATTCTCCATGCTTAAAAAATATACATTTAACTTAATTAATTTATTTATTTTTGAGAGGGAGTCTTGCTCTTGTTGCCCAGGCTGGAGTGCAATGGCTCGATCTTGGCTCACTGCAACCTCCGCCTCCTGGGTTCAAGCAATCCTCTGCTCAGCCTCCTGAGTAACTGGGATTACAGGCGCCTACCACCCTGCCCAGCTAATTTTTATACTTTCAGTAGAGACAGGGTTTCGACAGGTTGGCCAGGCTGGTCTCAAACTCCTGACCTCAGGTGATTCCCCCTCCCCTCAGCCTCCCAAAGTACTGGGATTACATGTGTATATATACACACATATTTTTAGAAGGGGTCTCACTCTGTTGGCCAGCCTGGAGTACAGTGGCACAATCATAGCTCACTGCAGCCTCAAACTCTTAGGCTCAAGAAATCCTGATGCCTCAGTCTCCCCAGTAGCTGGGACTACAGGCAGGCATGTGTACCTGGCTTTT